TCTGGTTGATTGGATGGACTCTTCCTGTGCAGAAATCTTGGCATTTTGCAAGGTTGATATCTATCTGAAGGAGGCCCTGGCTTTGCTCTCCCTTGAGAAAAATCAATTTCTTTGCAAAGCTAGGTCACAAGCTTGGCAGCATCCTCTTCTTAACCCTCCTGATTCTGCCGGGTGCGGTGTTTATAAACCAGCAAGGGCTGGAAAGGATGAGGAGACCAGACCCTTTGTAATCATCCTGATATATTGTATTAAAGTAATTCCATCTTGTATCACCAAGAGGTGCCTCTGTCTGCACGGTGGCACCTAAGCAGATATGTGATCATTGATCAAAGATTAATTGAACTACCATGGACAAGTTGGTCTCACATTCCTTCTGCCCACACTTCCAGTTTTCAGTGAACTCCAATAGGGCCTTAGCAGACACTTGCCAATCATTTGTAGACTGGAAAGGAAGCAATGACTGTAGAAACCTCTTTGTCTGTGATGCTTATGTCAAGGAAGCGTGATGTGGGCAGGATTAAGGTTTCTTTGCCATTTGCTCCTGCCTGCAAGGTCTGTTAATCATTCCTGATCTCTGAGGCACTGGATATTGCCTACTCTTGGCTTTATTCAGCCCCTTCTGTGTATAGTAGGTAGTGGTTGAGCTGAGGAACAGCCTTACAAAACAAGCCATAGCTGCAGATTAAAAGCAGTACTGTTGCAATAACATCTCATACGTGCTGAAGCAAGGTTTTTCTAAATTTAAAGAGGAGAGAAATAACAGCTTGTCATGAACTTTGCGTGCAGAATCTCTTCCTCCCACCCTACAACCTGCAGTATGTGTAAATAACAACTCATGGGCTCCCCATTAATCTCGCAAATGTCATTCTCATAAACGAGGGGAAATATTTTCCATGTCATCCTCCTTAGATCCTCGCTTGCACAGTAATGGTTTTTAAAATATTTATATACCGCTTCTGAAGTTGGAGGGAATGCCATGAGACAATCAAACTTTGTGTGTCTGCTATTGAATGTAATGAAAACAATATTGTGCATGGGGTAAAATGGGGGAAGAGAACAAAACACAGAAAGTAGCTGGTTTCCTACTCGGGAATCATTTCAAACTGGCTAACCTGGTTGCTTTTTCCATGACAGTTCTTGTGTGCAGTGCAGGGAAAAGCTGCTGCTAAATATGGGGTTTGGGGAGCAAAGGTTTGGGGTAACACTAAACTTGGAGAGTGAATATCAAAATTCAGGATCAGACTGTTTCTTGGGCCTGGTAGTGGATCCCTCCCAAAGCGTAAGGATGGATGGCTAGTGTGAACTTGATGCTGATCTCTGCAAATCTCCCTTCTACTCTGGGATTCACTTCTCCACATGCCTGGAGGTGTAACTTGAAAGGGAACACATCCCCTAGCAGGAAGAAACCTTCAAAGACTTGGCACTAGCCTGACTCTTCTTCCCGCAGTGCAAGTACTCCTAGTATTCCCACAGTTAGCTCACATCTCAGGGGCTCCTCAGACCCTCACTGGGGGTGTGGGGAGGGATGCATGTGTTGCTGCAGGTTAAGGCCCCCTTTTCTCACCTTTCTTGGTAAAGAGGGTTGCCTGGTGGTGCCTCAAGGGCTGTTCTGTTTTTGCTTCTTCACTAAAAATGGCTGTGATAGGGCCTCTGTTGTTCCAGCCTCATCTAAGATGAGACAGCTGGTTACAGCTCCCTCTGGCACTAAGCAGCAGTGCTGTGTCCTTCAAGGGGTTAACATGATATTCTGCCATTCCCCTTTGGGCAACTATTGGGGTTTGCTGAAGTTGGTACTAGTGCAGACAGTGAAGCAGTTAAGCTTGTACAGCAAGGGTGGGGATAACCTGGCACCTTCCTCAGAGCTGCTTCTCAAACCCTTTGATAGGGAGGAACCTGTGATCAGCCTCGGGTACCAGGAGTGGCAGCAGCTTGCCCAGAATGACAAATCGGCAGAAAACAGGGAGTAGTGAATCCTTGTAACTGCTTCTGGAGGTGGGCTTAGTTCCTGGTTCCCTTCTGGCTCCCAGAAAACACTCTCCCGTGCATTTCATTCCCTCATCTTGGGCACTACAGAGGATTCCTTCAGGCTCCCACCAGTCCTCATGCCAGCCTCTTTCTGCTGCCTCTGCCTGGAAGAACTGGACAGCAAGATTCACTGTCACCTCACTCCTCAATGTCCATGGGTCACTGAGCCAGTGCCAAAGTTTGATTTGCTTTGGGAATGGAGTGCACGGGGATGCAGTTTGTCTGTTAGTAAGCAGCTTTTGGGGGTTTCCATAGCATTAGCCTATTGCAGCAGGGCTTTTAAATTGCTAGTAATATTCCTACCATCTAGAATATAAGGTCAGGGTATAACCTGTTGAGATAAAAACCTTTTGGTTGCAGATAATGTGAGTGAAGGGAGGAAGCATCCAGCAATATGCTACAGAGGCACTAGAGTTTTGCTGCCATCTAAGAATCTCAGCACACCTGACTGCTAAGCCAGTCTCTCAGTGCCCTTTCACCATCGGCAGCTGGCTGGGAATAATATACAATGGCTCCATTCACCTTTCCTCATTCTGTCCTGTGGCTTTGTAAGGTGAAACTCCCTGGAGGTGCTCTCATTGCTATCCCTGCTTTTTTCTGGGTGAACAACGGCCTTAGCATAGCAACATCCACAGAGCTCTTGGCTAATGGAGGAAGGTATTCTTAGGGTAAGAAGTGGACATCATCACACCAAAGAAGATCAGCTGTGGTGGGACATGTTCTGCCACAGCTGATCTGCTTTATTGGACAACACACCCATTGCCCCTTTTCCTGCGGGGGAACCCCTGGCTGTTGTGGGAGAAGGAGCCATGTGGCCCCTTGCCTGGGGATTTCCTGGGTCCCTTGCTGCCCTGCACTGGATCCTGTGCTGACCCATGCCTCATGTGGAGGCACAGGTCTGTCTGGGTTCTGGCACAGGGCAGTGAGGCATCCCCAGTGCTCCATGCCTCTTTGCAGGGACCTGTACATGCTTTCTCTGCTTAGAGGTGCACCCCAGGCAGCTTTGTAAATGGGGAAACACAAGCACGTGCTCTGGGGGCTTGATGGGCCCGATCCTACCTGGGGTTCACAGGATTGGGCCCTTCAAGCCCTCAAAGCATTTATCAGGGGTGACAGGAGACTGTGGGCAGCACTGGGCTGCCTACACTCTGTCATTGCAGAGCAAATAGACATCATCCACAAGAAAGCGGCACAATTTATTAGTACCTTTTGTCATGCCACATTGGGTAAGGACTAGTTGTGCAGAATTTTTACCTCCATAACAATTTTTATTGTTATGCAACATCTGTTTCTACTCTTCGGTTCATAGAGGTACCAATGGGGTTAAGACAATGTTGAGGTTTGTGTGGGATTGTAAAAGCAGGGTGTGCTCGCTTGTCTGCAATGCTTGGTTGTGTTGGCACAGACACAGGCTGACAGATGGAAAGATTCTTCTGCAGGTGGGAGGCTTAATAAACTTGCCTGAAAAATAAAGAAGTAACTTCCATGTGCTGTAATAACTTGGAACAAAACCTTCCCAGACATGTCTTAATCATCCCGGTAACTATGGCATGTGCCAGAATTGCTAATGGCACATTTCTGCAAAATCATTATGCTCTGAAGTAATTAAACTGTCAAGCAGACAAACTCCCACCTGACCTCAGTGTGCTTCTCAAGCGCTTCCTTTGGTTTGGTACATGGATAATGTTGTTTCTGGTCTGAATTAGTTAATGCTAAGTGGCTGCTGGTACTGCATAGCAACCAAATGAGTCTTTGGAGAGGCAAATTCCTGCTATACCCCTTCTAAGCCCTTTAATGGATAGGTAAAGAATCTCAAAGCACCAATGCAGCCAGAGTGGTGACCTCCTGTGTTTGTTACCGCTGCCTGCAATAAACTTGCCCTACTGTAATCATAGCCCCATTTTTGTCTGATAACCCAATCGCTGACCAATGTGAATAAAGGCCACTATTGTAACTACAGCGATGCACCTTGTTACGATTGCTCATGGCAGCACATAGCGTACATGGAAGTAAGAATCCTCTGAATATGAGGACTCTGACAAGGGTAAAGTCTAATGCTTCAGCTCCAGTACTTGTATTTTTTTTTTGTTAGGCTTCTGCACTAAACAGGGGCCAGTGCCTAAGTTTGTAAGTATAACCCACTCACTACAGAGTGTCTCTTCTGTGCACAACTCCTATTAATGATGAGGTATGTAGGAGAAATGGTAGACCCTACGCCACCACAGGTGCTGCGAGCCATGCATAAGCTCTCCTCCTTTAGAGCTTTCAAGTAAATGAATTGGTGCATTGGATCTGATCATTAGCTTACAGACAAAATTCACATTGCCAGGTAAAGCTAACGCACAAGCTTATCTCCCCAAGGATTCATTCAATGCCAATAGACTAACCTGTCAAATAGTAGGGTACTTCAGTGAAACACTTATCCCCTGAGAGTATAGGTGAAGCTGCTACTGGGAATCTCTTCATTTCCTTCCATAGTCCTTCATGATTTAATGAAGTATGAGGGTGTTTATGTTTCCTCCATTTTAACCCAATGGCTTTAAATGTGAAGACTGTTCCAAGCATTTTGAGAGATTATGGCAGTTTATTCGGCTAATAAAGCTTGCTTACTACATGGACACTTTAACATGAAAAATAGAAACTTTAACAATACTGACATTGGACATGTAACAGTCACATAAAATTAGAATTTAGTTAATCAAAGCTTTTTTTCGTTATGTGTTAAGTAGAGTGTAAAGGAATCAACAGTTTGCTTTGATATCTGATAAGCTAAGCATTACCAAATGCTATTAAAAAGAATTAAGAACTTGCTTTCCAGTGGTATATATGCCAAAAATAAATATTTTTGGAAAAGAATGCTTGCATCCTACATAAAGGATCAAAAAACTTCAGATACCTGTTACCCTTAAATTAGAACATTCATTAAAGAAAGCAATCTGAAATTGCTTCTATAGATAAATGCCTGAGTAATTGGCTGCAGTGTGATTTATTTATTTATTTATAAAAAATGAACAAGATGTACATTTTCAAAGTGTAAATATTTAAAAGTAGCTTATGGCAAAATTAAAAGGCACGGAATTAATTTTGTTCTTGGGTAAGTGTTTTGCTGTTTACATTAAGCAACAAGTCTGTTCTGCTAAAATATCCTAAATATATACTCTTAATGCAAGAATATGTCTCCTCTTAAATATATTTCTGAATGGAGGTACCCACGGTAGTCTGAATATGGCAATAGACTTTAGACTTTTAATTATGATTTTTTTCTAGCAACCTCTATATCACTTTGTTAAGATAATGTTAAACTTGCTCATTTGAGCAAAATAACTCAAGTGCAAAACAAGGGGTTCAGCGTGGCTTATATGTCAGCAGCTGGTAAGCATTTTAACATACAGATCACCTTGTAAAATATCAAGACAAATTACAACCTCTTACAACAAAGCAGTCGTCAAGGTGCAAATGGACAGTGTTACACAGACAGCAAGTAAGTTTAACTATCTCTACCCTGAATTTTGGAGAAGTGCACCAGAAACTGAATCAGAATATTGGAAAATAGCGAGCTCAGTGAACAGTCTCAGACAGGCTTACCGAACCTCCCAAGGCTAATTTGAGTGTAGGACATACTAAAATGAATACTCCTTGCTGAAAAATAGATCTACTTATCTTTTTTTTTAAATAGCTAGTCTTTGTAACCCTGATGTGGTATCTTAATAACAGTCAGGATGTCATTGGAAACAGTCATTTCTCTCCTGGAGTGTACTGTCACTCTCAATGCAGCCCAGCTGTCAATGCTGAGAAGCCTGCACACATTCCAGCCGAACCACGAAAGCCCGACAGCCGTGGGCTTTTTAAAATTCTGACCACAGTAGCTGCACCATTAACCTTGGCTGTGACTGAACAGGAAAACATCAGGCACATCATTGGCAAGAACTGTTCAGTATGTAGCCAGACCAGTTGAATTTTGTTTTCTGTTGTAGACTGTGCGTCTAAGCGTTATCTTCAGCACAAATGTTCTCTTTGGCTACCAGACTCTGCATTTTTCGGCAGGGTGCATGGTGGTGCCCTTTTTACAGTGGAATGCCTCAGAGAAGGCTTCAAAGTTTTGCAAAGATCCCATCACCCTGAACAAAGAGAAAGAAAAATGTTTTCTTTGCATCCAGGTAGGAGAGAGAGTCCAGAGGTAAGGACAGTAATAAAGCCTGTACTAAAGTGAGTCAGAGCCAGATGACTGCAATAAGACCACAAACTCTGCAGATAATCAGTAAGAGATGGTCTCTTCCCTGGTGTCTAAGGCTAGGATCTTGCCAATAGCTGTGTGGAGCCTGATTGCAGCTCCATGGGGCTCATTGGGTCCCTCTGTACCCTGGATCATTGCAGGATTGAGACCTCATGCAAGAAGCAGCATTCGGTTTTCTGTCTCAGTGGCTTGACTAATGCTAGGACCAAGACCAGATCTGCAGGGGAAGTGGAGTGAGGCACCAAGGCAATTCTTTAGCAAGGATTTGGGTAGAATTTATAGCACTGGGAACTTATGGAAGCCTCTCATCCAGATTCTGCTCAGGATGAGGTTGGCTTCACGTTGGTACCATGCAGGAAGGAATTTTATGCTGCCATTATTGCACTACCTGTTCCATAAAGTATAAGCATCTCCCTCTGGTGCTTGCAAGGCGCAGGTATCCAGTCAGCCTGGATGGGTCAACACCTGGACTTGCATGCGTCCCAGTGAAATGCAGGGAGTTCCCAGCAGAATTGTAATTTCCTCCTTGCTACCTCCTTTACTTCCACAATTCCTCCCTACATGTGGGCACCTGCCCTGCCACTGCTGCCGCTAGGGCACAAAGCCAGCATCTCCAATTTTCATTAAAATGATGCATTTACTATCAAGGACTACATTTGGGGGCTAATTGGAGAAAAAGTAACATGGGTGTTGCAGTTTGGTTTATGA